AAAAAAAAAAAAAAAATTAAAATCATTTTTTTCTGGGCTCTAACAGTGCTCTATATCCCAGTCCCCACCATTTTCCTTGGCAAACACCCTTAGTTATTATTGAAATAAAACTTGATTCTTTTATTTAACAATTGACCTACAGTGCTTTAAGAATAAGATTATCCTGTGCTGCCCTGAGTATGATTAATTGTATCTTGTACATTCACTGTATTGTGTTTAATGCAATGACCATTATTGTTTTTGTAGTTTATTTGAAACGAAGAACTTCATGCCCAATTTATGTCCTCAAAGGAGATTAAGAGAATGAGGTAGATCTACTTAGATTCTCATTATCATATAATTAAAACAATGAAACTTGTCAAACTCCTTAGCTCTATATGTGAGAAAAAAGAAACTCAGAGAGATTCTGGCCTATAGAAATTAATGGCAGAATTGGAAGTAGAATTCAGGGTTCCTGGTCTCAAAAGCAGATGTGGTTATATGATATGGCTGTTACCCAAACATCTAAACTTTATTTGTAAGATATAAAAAACTGCTTCATCTCTTTTTAGAGAAATGAAAAAAATTAAGTATATCTGGATAATCTAAAGATCTTATTCTAGCCAGTAGCTTACAGATGTAAACGAAGTGTTTAACTATAGAGTGTAGTAAGTTGACTGAAGTTGCTTAAGCCAGCCATTCTTAGAGAGCCTAGGTATTCTTAAGTATTAGTGAGATCTGTTTTATGTGACTACTCCTTCTACTTAAATATCTGTACCATTAAGCAATTTTTTTTCAATTATGGATAAAGATGACTTTATCATGAGTAATAGTATCCCAGAATACTGTAAGATTTTAAAGGATGGGTTTTCCTTTTGACTCTTGTAAATCTGGCAAGTATGATATTTTTATATTAAGATGTCATCCTACCTAGGTATTCTGGGAATGCTTTGATACTAGATCAATTTTTTAAAAAATGATCTCTCTAGGATTTCATCATCATGGCCAATTAAAAGTTCAGAAATTGAAAATCGTTTTGTCCAACAATTGATGAAATCAAGTCTTAGAAGAGGAAGTCATATAAGGAAGAGGTAGATGTCATTACATCCAGTCTATTTTTGTTTATTTTTCCCCAACAGTCTGTCTTTTGCAAATCTCCATATTAAATTAATATACCGTCCTTTAAGAAAATCTATATACAAATACAGGTCTGTATACTAAATGATTTCAGTTCAAGAATGAATACAAATTCTCCTTTTCAGAATGAATGTTCACTGACATAGTCTTTTAAGTTTCCAAATATCCTGCTGCATTCAAGACAGCTTTTGATTTTCAAAATTCTGTTTTAAATGGTATATATGTATTACAGAAAGTGATAACACCTTTACCGTTCAATTCTTAAATGATTCTCTAATTGAACAATGGGTCAGAAGTAATTGTTTTAAGAAAAATAAATGCAGTCCATTACTTAATAATGGCCTTTGTCACAATGATAACTGGTAAATTTTATGTTACAGTTAAAAGTAAAAATTGTTTTTTAAAGGTTAGGCTACTCATGTCTACATAAATGATAAAAGTATTACAGAACCCCTTAATATATACCTGAGAATGATAATCTAACATAGATAATAATGGAAAATTTTTACCTGCAGAGTTTAGTTGCTACCTATTTTTCAAATCATTCTTTTTACATATTTGCATTTGACCTCCTGATTCTAAGATACATGTTTATTGTAAAAAAATAATAATTAAAAATACAGAAAAGCAAAGGAAGAAAATAAGTTACTCAAATAACTATAAAATACATTTAATAACATTTAATTTATGTGTACATTTATTATGTACACTATTATGTGTACATAATAAAATAATATATAAAAATATAAACAATAAATCTCAAAAAGATTACTGCTAGTCATTGAGGAGAGCAGGATGGCATAGTAGTTAAGAGCTTGCTGCCTGGATGAGGACTCTGTTCTACCATTTACTAATACTGAAAGCAAGTTATTGAATCTCTCATTACTTTGGGGTCTTTATCTGTAAAATGGGGTTATTATTACCAGCCACATAAGGTTGTTGTGAAAATGAAGTGAATTGATGTATGTAAAGGGCTTAGAATAGTCCCCTGGCACATAAGTGCTATATTATTATTGTTGTGTTATTGTTACTGAAATATTTTTTTCTGTAATGTCTGGGTTGTTCGGTTTTCAGGCAAGCCTGAAAAAATTTTTAGTACGAGTTAAAGTAACGGTAACAACAAAAGCTAGTACTTAGAAGGCATTATTGTACAGGGAATTCATCTAAGTGCTTCACGTGTATTTATTTCTTCTTAATACGTCATTCTCATTTTATAGATGAAACTAACAAAGAAAGCTATATGTTTACAATTGTAATTATAGAACTTGCATTGAATTATTTTGGCACTCAGGGTGGGGAGCAGAGTGGAGATTGGTGGAGATGGACAGACAGTAATATTTAATATTAAGAATGAAGATAAATTTGTTTCAGCGTCATATAAAGTGTCTCTAGTGGAGCTAAGACTGCAACACATGGTCTCTGAATCCTGAAGAAACAACACCAAATCCTTTAAAAGATACAATCACATTGATAATGGAGTCCGCTCTCATTTATGAATGTTAATGAGGAAGAACTATAGGAAGCATATTTAAATATCAGATAATCATTTTTTCCACCTTGGAATGCATTATACTTTTGATATAAGCAGGTTTGTCTTTGTGTTATAAGGGCATATATAAACATTGACTTATATTCCTTTAACACCTAGGCAGGTGGGAACTGGAAGAAGGAAACTAGGAATGCGTTCCATGGCAATATGGGATGTTGGCGTGATGGGTAAACCACATTGGAGCTGATAATTCTAATTTAGTTCTCAGCATTCTTTATTTTCTGTGGCTTGAAACAGGTTTCCAACTGGAACTATTTTTCCCCAAGGTTATTTTCAAAACTTGGGACAAGGCTATAAAACCAAATTGTGAATCTTTTGTTCAAAGATCAAAGTTGTTTTAAAAGGTTCCAACATGATGTGTTATCTTAATATTGCCCACTCTAAACACTTTGCTATATATTTTTACTAAGCCTTCACATCTTTTCAGTATGAAGAGTACTACTCCTTTTTTTTCTTTGCAGATGAGGAAACTGAAGCTTACCTGAGTCGCTTGCTAAAATTTAAAGTTTAAAAGTTAAGTGATAGTTGGAACTAGTACAGAGTATTCTCAGTCTCCACAACACTCTGTCACAAAAATAAGTTATCCTTATACAACTTGGCGTAAAAATGATTTTGTAAATATTAGAGACCACTGTTGTACAGGACATTTTTTAAAGCTAAAGATTCTAAAATCACAGAATTATAGAATCCAAAAGTTGAAGATATCTAAGAGATCATTTCAGCCTTTGTTCTTAAAACCTTTTTGACTGTAGTCCCAAGTAAGATATTTTGCATAGCATTAGGTACACACATGCATATCTGTCTGTACATATAATTGAAATAGAAGTTTCACAAAACAGTAGATGCCATTACTATGTGGAATACATTCTTTTCCCTCCCATTGTTGGTTTTAAACCACTAAATGAATTGGGCTACCCACTAATGAGGTTCAGTTGGCAGTTTGAAAAACATTGATCTAGGGCAACTCGCTTGATTTATGAATTCATGAGATTTTATTTCATTTTTTATAGATCTGCTAGAATGTCCAAACCAGTGCTATTACCTAAAGTCATTACTTCAGGACTGTAGTACAGTTACTTTGTTGATGTTTGAATTGCTCAAAACCATTTTTTAAAATTCTACTTGGACTAGTTGGAATAACTTGAACACCCTTACATATTCTGTTTTGGCAAATTTAGAAAATTTTTAACAGCCAAACGGCATTTAAAGTCAATGTAGCAAATAAGGTGGGTGATCAGTAGGCATGCTGTTAGTAAATTTCAGATACATTAAAAAAAAAATGCAGTGTAATTATTTCACATTAGGATCTAGTGTGGATATTCTGATTAATCTCTTAATGACTGAGGTCAGTTACTATGTATATTATTCTATAGATACAAAAAAGTATCTGGTAAAGATTTATAGTTAAAAAATGCTAGATACTAGGGTTTGATAACTGTTAGTAAGAAATTAAGAGTAAGGATATGAGCAAGCGTATGTCTCATCTGCTTTCAAAAAAAAGTGTATATGAGATGTGTTGTGATCCATTGAGAAGTGGCAATTTATAATAGGCATTATAAGAGACCATAAATTGTTTCCCTATTTATTCAGTGTGTTTTTTCTCTTAATTGAAACTATTTTATTTATGGCTGAATGGATTAATAAGACCGAATTCCTTAGTTTCTATTCTATTAAACATAACTACTAGCGAACAAATTTGAAGTCAAACTTTTATACTCCATTGTCTTTGTTGAAATGATTTATTTTGAGTTCACTTATGTATTTGGCTGTCTTGACTTCTTTCCATGTCCTAACCTTACAGCCCAGGTTTGTTATACAGAAGTAACAAAAAAATCTAATTTTAATTTTCTACTATATGTTAATTTCATCACAAATCAGTAGTTAGAAAGTAACCTTTTATAAATCTATGCTGGTTTCTTTACTGTCCTGTTTTTCCATTATCTGTGAGACTGAATCTTTGCCTTTACTGGCTTTTTACCAGTTTGCTTCCTGTTTCCATTTAAAACAGACCAAAAGTCAGTACTTTTTATTTGCTCCATAGCCCTACTCCTTGTTTTGTTTTGTTTTTTTTTTTTTGCTTCTCCTTATTTTTATTTTGCTTTCATCCTTAAACTGGCAGTCATCTTCTTTTCACTTTATCTTTTCACTCATTATAGCTAGAGATGATCGCTATGGAAAATCCTGCAGACTTGAAGAAACAGTTGTATGTGGAATTTGAAGGAGAACAAGGAGTTGATGAGGGAGGTGTTTCCAAAGAATTTTTTCAGCTGGTTGTGGAGGAAATCTTCAATCCAGATATTGGTAAATATTTTAGTGATATGATCACGATGTCATATCTTTTTGAATTAAGGATTTGTTTACCAGTGTTTATAAATACTCTCAGTTATGAAGAACAGTTAATAGGGTTTGGTATGACTTTCCTAGAATCACAGATAATGACTGAATTTGTGGGTTTGGGGTACTGTTATGCATCACTTATTCAAGTTCTTATTCAGATTACTTAGCCTAATATTTTACTACAGGAAATTACCTCTTAGATAAATAAATTGAAAATGGTACATTAGAACAATTGAAAGATTTCTTTACTCTTTTTACTCTAAACATTCATCAAACTCACAGCATTTCTGAAATAAGAGTTTCATACAACAGTGTCTAAAGAATATTGAGAATGTCTCACAAGTGTATCATGCTCAAAGTTTGAAAACCCTCATTGGTATCAAAGTAATTAGGTTTTTATTTGCTACAGGATTTCATGGGGCTTAATATTACAGTATTTTCCCAAACATTTTGAACTCCAGAACCCTTTTTCCACCCCACATCTAATAACATTTGCCTCCCAGAAATGTTTTTTATTGAACAGTTTGGGAGAAACTGATCTATATATGTCAGTCTGAAAGTGAAGAATTTGAGTTTTACTGATAGACAAAGTAGATAAAGTAGAACCAGTAAAAGACTGCAGCTTCTTGGATTGTATTCATAACTGGGTAGTTCTGAACTGATTGAGTTTCTATAATATAACCGCTAACTTGGTTACTAGGTTTGCTTATTTTTAAAACCGAATGCATGACAGTTACAGGAAAAGGAGTCCACTAAAGGTACAGTCAGAATTGTGAAGAATGTGACATAGAATAATGCATATATCATTTCCATTAAGCTTTGAGAATTGAGCTTGTTGATTCTCAGTATATACATTGAATTGACTTTTCCGTTATTCTTAGTTGGTCATATATATACATATATGTAAATGAAAGTAGACATTTTGAGTTCATGACACAAATATAGTTAAGACTATTTTAGCTAATGTTTATTAATCAGAAGCCTATGTAATTTGCATGTAATCTGTTCAAAGTAAATCAAGACACCTAAAACCATGCCTTTTTTGTGATTGAAAGTTAATTTGTGAGCTTCTTAGGTTTGGTAAACCTTAGCTCTGGGTTCCCTTGTGTCTTGACACGTTAAACATTAGCTGTAAAGCATACTTACGTTATACGCAGAAATACTTTTAAGAGAAAAACATACATTTAATAGTTCCACTTGATAGTAAGGTAATTGAAATGATAGTTAAAACTATCAAAAATGAGTATTTTAGCAGAGCCACTCTTTATGGTGCATTTCTTCCGGGGACTAGCAAAACTGTGCCCAAAATGGAATCATTTTGAGCCTTAAAATTATTATCTTTCATACACAGAGATGAGAGTAATGACCTCTGTAATTTATATTCTGATTAATTTGTAGTTTATTGCTCTTGAGACCAAGGACATACATTTGTGAGATTTCATCAAATTTATTAATTATAATTATTTTCGACTGTTCTTGACTCTGTTAATAACATATTTACAACTGAATGAAGTTTTTACCACTTCAGTGAATCTTGTAACTTGGGCCTGTAAAAAAAGTTTAGATCTAAACTGAGATTCAGGTAAGAATTAGATAATTTTCAAACTTTTATTTCATGAACATTAACTTTCATTAAAAAAAAGTCCTAGCTTACTTTTATACTCTTATGATCCAAGGAGTATTTTACAGTTCCTTTTGTATTTAACTTAAACTAAATGTGAAAATAAACATTTTTAAAGCTTTCAAAAATCATATAAATTGATGTATTTGTGTCATATTGATTTCTAAAGTTTGTTCTATTGGACATTGCCCCTTTTTTCAGACCTAATTCTTAAAATATTTTCATTGAATTGCACAGTAGCAATTGAAAAACATTTTAGCAAAGTAAGAAAAGTCATAAATTCGTAAAATACCATGTAACCTTTTCCTTAGATATTCTATTTGTCTGAAGGGAAGAAGATAATTTTGCCTTAGTAATGGTATTCAGATAGGTAAAATCAAACATTCCTAGTTTTTAAAATGAATGATACAAGAAAGATCTCTAAGCTTGGGTTTTGAATAGTGAAGACCATGTGAAATTGAAATAAGACTACAAGTGCAAACTACTTTTGTTTTATTTATTGGCTCACAATGTGTGTATTAAATAGCTTTGGGTTTTGGATGTAATCTGTCTTCATCAAATTTATTTAAGCTTATGTACTTGGCTTCATCTGACTTTGTCGTTCAAAAGGTGCTAGAAAAACTTCATGGGATCATTGTGCAGTTTTGAAAAAACAAAAACTTTTCTTTGAAATTCAAAATTGTTTTTTGATGTCAGCACATGTAGATTAAATATGTTTTAATAAGTTTTTATAAAGCTTTTTTTTCCCTTTGGTTTTGCATTTATTTTCATCCATTCAGCAGATAAAGTATCAATACAAATTAAGTTATCATTTGTATTAATAGAAGATTAGAGAACTTTAATGAACATTTTCCCTAACTTAGAAAATGCAACCAAAATTGCTTATTGCTTTGTTGCCGTGGCTTCTTAACATGACATACTACCATTTTCCACAATTTATAACAATCATGTATATTTGAACTTTGGTCTCTCAAGTGTTAATGTAATAGAGAAAAAAAATTTTGTACACCTACTACATATAAATTTGTGTAGTTATATTTGTATTCATCAGTCTTTAATAAAATATAAAAGTAATATATTTTCTAAAATCATTTTTTATAGGTATGTTCACATATGATGAATCTACAAAATTGTTTTGGTTTAATCCATCCTCTTTTGAAACTGAGGGTCAGTTCACTCTGATTGGCATAGTCCTGGGTCTGGCTATTTACAATAACTGTATACTGGATGTACATTTTCCCATGGTTGTCTACAGGAAGCTAATGGGGAAAAAAGGAACTTTTCGTGACCTGGGAGATTCTCACCCTGTAAGTCTGTAATTTTTTATTTGATGTTTAGATTTTATTTAAAAGCAGAACTAAAGTTTAATTTATGTAAAAAAATTAAAGTTTTCATTTGGAATCATTTTCATTTGTTAATATTTATACCTATTAAGATAAAGCTGTTTTAATCTGTTAAAGTACCATGAACACTTAAAAACTCAAAGGGGAAATTTAGTATAACTGTCAGCAAGCAGGTTTCGTAGGATTGATTCTGTAGAAAAGGGTTTTTAAACATGTCATTTTGGTTTTTGGGGCTTTGTTTTTTTTGTTTTTTAATGAAACCACATGAGATTGCCAGGTGAAATCAGAGCTGCTCTGGATAAGGGGTTTGGTAGCTACAGTTAATGTGTCTGTTTCTGTCTCCAACCCCTCCCTCACTGTGAGACACCTGAGGTTCTCTCATAGAGCACAGAGTAAAATCCATTGCTAAATTGACGCTGTGGTTTTCTCAGCAGAGAATTGGACAGACCAGTAACTGTCAGTCTTTCTGTATTGTAAACTATTTGGGGGACAGAGAGGATACTTTCTATGCTTTAGTTCTTATTGTCAATTTTTTTCTTCCCAAGAAGAGGGATACAAAATGTTGTATTTTATAGTTCTATGGTAACCTAATTTTATTTCTGGTTTTAGGTCCTATATCAGAGTTTAAAAGATTTATTGGAATATGAAGGGAATGTGGAAGATGACATGATGATCACTTTCCAGATATCTCAGACAGACCTCTTTGGTAATCCCATGATGTATGATTTAAAGGAAAATGGTGATAAAATTCCAATTACGAATGAAAACAGGAAGGTAATAAGTGTTTTAGTATCATCATTGTCTTTGTCTCTTTATTAACAGTTTTAAAGCGTATATGCTTGTAATTTTTAAAGAAGTATCTAAAATACTTCATACAAAAAAGAAATCAAGTAATCAAATTCTTATAAATGAAATAATAAATGAAATAGCCAGTTTTCTAAATCTTGGATATGAGCTGGTAGGAGAGCCTGTAGTTGGGCACTAAAACCCTTTTTAAGAAAGAGGACAGGAGTAGTAGATAGTGAATGACACAGTGTGGCTGTAATAAAAAGCAAGAAACAGTGTATTTCTGATACTAGACTGTACAGGGGAGGGAAACGGAGACCTCATGATTAAGATCCTTCTCACCAAACAAATGACCATTGCCTTTAATGTATACACATATATATGTGACTTAAAAACACTAGTGAAAAGTGTTCTTTAAGTCAGATACATGTTTTCTGTATGCATCTGGAAATGGGAATAACCCATAATATGGCAGGAAAATTAAGATCAATATATAGTAAGCCTTTAAAAAAACACAGTTTATAATAATGCAATTTTTGATAAAATATTCTCTTAAGTTAGGATACAAAGTGCATTTTTACCTTTTATGATTTGGTACAGTAGCTTACGTATCAAGTAAAACACCAAAAGTTTTGATGAACTGGATACAGTAGGCAGCTTCTCAAATATTCTAGCATAGACAACATGAGGCTTCCTAGATTGCTCAAATCCGGTACAGTGCGGTTGTTAGCTTTTATAAATAGATGTATACATGGTTTAAATGTCTCTGTTTGCACACCTGGTTGAGAGACTCTCAAAATTGTATTGAGGACCAGCTTTTATATGCAGTCTTGTTTAAGATAATATCAAAATTGAAACTTATATGTATATTTAGTTTATGTACATGGCCTTTTTATAGTTCTGTTGCAGAGATCTGTGAAATTGTTAAAGGTACCTTGTTTTATTGTACTTTATTGCACTTTGCAGATGTTGCATTTTTTTTATAAATTGAAGGTTTATGGCAACCCTTCTTGAGCAAGTCTGTCAGCACCATTTTCCAACAGCATTTGCTTACTCTGTGTCTCTATGTCACACTTGGGTAATTCAAACTTCAAACTTTTTCATCATTATTATATTTGTTATGGTGATCTGTGCTCAGTGATTATGACTCACTGAAAGCTCAAATGATGGTTAGCATTTTTTAGCAATAAAATATTTTTTTTTTTAGCAATAAAATATTTTTAAAATTAAGGTATGTACATTGTTTTTTTTTAAGACATACTGTATTACAAACTTAATAAACTACAGTATAATGTAATCATAACTTTTATATACACTGGGAAACCAAAAAATTCATTTGACTTGCTTTATTGCGATACTCACTTTATTGCAGTGGACTGAAACCAGATCCACGATATCTCTGAGGTATGTCTGTATTTTCCTTTGTATGTGTAAAGTTTGAATCTTTAAATATATTCTTGAATATTCTTCTTTCTTTGGGAAAATAAAAACAAAAAGGATATGCAGCCCTGTATCTTGTGTTTTATTTGTATAGCATATTATAAGAAGTTCTTGTGGTTAATGTTTTCTGCAGGAATTTGTCAATCTCTATTCTGACTACATTCTCAATAAATCAGTAGAAAAACAGTTCAAAGCCTTTCGGAGAGGTTTTCATATGGTGACCAATGAATCTCCCTTAAAGTATTTATTCAGACCAGAGGAAATTGAATTGCTTATATGTGGAAGCCGGGTAAGAAAGCAAAATGTCTGCAAAAATATCCTATTAATTTATTGTTTGTAATGGTGTGGTATATATGTTAAGACGTATTTTCTTGAATTTGCAGAATCTAGATTTCCAAGCGCTAGAAGAAACTACGGAATATGACGGTGGTTATACCAGGGACTCTGTTCTGATTAGGTGAGGTGCTTAATTCTTAAAAGGAAGATTTAATTCAGTAAAGGGGTGTGTAGTTAATGCTTTAGACCTTCATCTCTAGGTATTACTTACCAAATAAGCAAACTCACAGATTCTCAATCTATTATATTAGAAGTGTATTTGTAATATAATCACCAGTTTTTACTGTTAATGATTTATTTCTTGAATGAAGTGTTTTATGGGAAGTCACATGTTTTCTTATGCATTTGGGATATAAATTATCTAATATTCCTAGTGATTCTGATTAGCATGTGCTTACTGCTGGTTAGAAAATGATGAAAACAGAGCTACCATCTCTGAATATTTCCCCTTTCTTTTGAACTCTGTGTTTGTGAACTGTTATTCTCTACCCTATATGAAGCACCTTTTGTGTGAAATGTTATTTTATTTAATTTTTATGATCACATGCCAAGATACATATTAGTATTTGTTTTACCCCTGAAGAAACTGAGCCCCAGATTTTCACAGAAAAAGGCAGAGATCTTTCCCAGTCTTTGCCGCTTCCAAACAAATGCTGTTCCTACCATACTGTCTCCTTTTCTGTACTGCACTATTCAATCTTAAAAGACATAGGCTTCTTCCTCCCTTGTGGAGATTGGTAAAAGGGGAAAAAGATGCTTTTTAGGTGCCCACTCGTGGGATAAGGAATGCAAACATAACTCCTGGAGGTTGTCTCTGAAGGTTATTTCTCTAAGACTACAGTATGTGAACACCAGAATGAGTATCAACTGTAACTAGAGATGAGTAATACTTTATGTTGTTTTATATTATGTTACATTATTTTCTTCTGTTACCTGTTTTGTTCTTCATTCTGGTGTGTAGGAGGTTACTGGCATTTCCTCTTTTTAGTACACCCTAACTCATTTCTAGTAGCAATCTTGAACTACTCACTCTAAGCAACTATTATTATGCTACTTACCTGAAGTTTCAAAATTGACACATGAAAGGGTTGAAAACATGATAAAGAAAACCCCACTTGTGAGTCACAAGGAATTCACAGATTGGATTTTGTAGCCTCTTAAGTTTCCCTGAGAATAGTTGGAAGTATTTTGTGTGTTCTTTATGGAGAAATTAATTTTTAAATTAAAGTTTTAATTTTATTTCTAGCTTATAATAACATAATTCTTACTTGATACATATCTTAAGATCATATGTTAATGTGTAATTTGAAAGGCAAGTGAAAAGACAGAGTTACAGTAGCTTCCAAATCATTCTCATTGTTAATGGTATTCTAAAAATCTTTTTAAACAAAATTCAGACTTCTTATTTTGTCAACATATATATGAAAATATTAATTCATTAAATAGAATCTACAACTAGTAGAAAGTTGAAGACTTGGAATAGTTATTATAATACCAGGGAAAAATTGGCAATATTGGTATCTTGTTTGGTATTTATTTCATTTAAAGTATTCAGAATTCATTGAAGTGAAATGAAGAAAAACTTTGAAACTGTATAATACATTTCAACTAAAAATTAGTAACATAACATTTGGTGTAATATAAAATACCAATAGAAATATTTTAGTTTTTAATATTAAAAATATACTTCTACTACAACTTTTACCACTAATAAAGTTAATGAAAATAAATTACTCAGAAAATAACTATATGTAAAACGTGAACATTTAAAAGTCTAGCATTAATAAAAATAAAAGTGAGAAAATGTTGACTGTCAAGCAAGTCTGTGTTTATGTTTTCAGTTGCCGATAAAGCTGTCCGGGATTTCATTTGACTACTAAGAGACTTAGAAGTATCTTTATTTTTTTATTGTATTTTTTTTTCTAAAGATTTATTTGAGAGAGAGAGAGCACAAGCAGGGGGAAGGGCAGAGTGAGAGGGAGAAGCACGCTCCCCGCTGAGCAGGGAGCCTGATGTACGACTCGATACCAGGACCCCAGGATCATGACCTGAGCCAAAGGCAGACACCTAACTGACTGAGCCACCCAGGCGCCCTAGAAGTATCTTTTTATTTTAAAGATTTTATTTATCTATTTGACAGAGACAGCGAGAGAGAGAACACGAGCAGGGGGAGTGGGAGAGGGAGAAGCAAGCTTCCCGCGGAGCAGGGAGCCCGATGTGGGGCTCGATCCCAGGACCCTGGGATCATGACCTGAGCCGAAGGCAGACGCTTAACCGACTGAGCCACCCAGGCGCCCCCCCCCCCCACCCCGAAGTATCTTTTTAAATGGTCCTTGTTAGTGTTTTTGGGTGAGAGGCAGGGACTGCAGTTTCTTTTTAGTTGCTAGTGAATTTCTATTTAAAGGCTTGGTCAAATTCAGATTTGATTATCCTCTTCTCACAGTTAATGTGATTCATTTCATTTAATTTTTCAATACTACATCAGCCTTTTATTTCTAGGTAAGCCTAACTTAGCTGTGGCCTGTTAGTTTATAAATACGTTGCTCAGTTTATTTTACTAACATTTTGTTTTGGTCTCTATTCAGGAGGAATATTGACCTGTAATTTCCTTTTTTTATACCTATCAGGTTTTTGCTACCCTTATATAATGAGTTAAAAAGAGTATTGTTCCTCATTTTCAAAAATACTCGAATAAGATTGGTAATTTTTTCTCTTAAATATTTGCTCAAATTCACCAATGAGACTATCTGGGCCTGGACATTCTTTGTTGGAGGGTATTTTGATTTGGGGTTTTTTTTTAATTTTATTTTGAAATAACTATAGATTTATTGGAATTTTCTTTTACAATACAGGTTGAAGGGGTGCCTGGGTGGCTCAGTCAGTCAAGCATCTGCCTTCGGCTCGGGTCATGATCCTCAGGTTCCTAGGATCGAGCTCCACGTTGGGCTCTCTGCTCAGTGGGGAACTTCTTCTCCCTCTCCCCCTCTGCCTGCCTGCCCCACCCCTCAAATAAATAAAATCTTAAAAAAATATATAGTATGGGTTGGTCCAGTGTACCCTCCATCCACGTTCCCACAGTGGTAACATTTTTCATTACTGTAGCACAATATCAAATTCAGGAAACTGATACTGATTCAATCTATAGACCATATTCAGATTTCATCAGTTTTTCACGCACTTATTTCTGTGTATGTGTAGTTCTGTGTACTTTCATCACATTATATAGATTTGCATAACCAGTATTATAATCATTGCGTACAGCTTTTTCATCACCAGAAGGGTGCCTGTTGCTATCCCTTTGTAGGCATACTCATACTCCTCCAGCATGATTCTCTTGAGATCCATCAAAGTTGTTATATGTATCAATAGCTCATTCCTTTTTATTGCTGCATTTCATGACATAGATGTACCTACCATATTTGGTTTAACCATTCAGCTGTTAAAGGACACTTGGAATGTTGTCAGTATTTGGCTATTAGAAATAAAGCTACTAAACATTTAAGCAAAGATTTTTGCAAGAACATATATTTTCATTTCTCTGGTATAAATGCTCAATAGTGCAATCCTGGGTCATATGACAAGTGCATGTTTAGTTTTTTAAGAAACTGCCAAACTGTTTTCCAGAGTTACTGTACCATTTTACATTTCCCTGGGGAATATATGAGTGATCCAATTTCTCCATATCATTGCCAGCATTTGGTGGTGTCAGAATTGTTAGCTTTATCTGTTCTGCTAGGTATGTTGTAATATCTTATTGTGCTGTAATTTGAATTACCTTTGATGGCAGTGGTGTGGAATATCTTTTCATGTACTTACTTGCCATCTGTATATTGTTTTTGGTGAAATGTCTTTTTTTGTTGTTGAATTTTGAGTTCTTCATATCTTCTAGTCCTTTTTGTGGTGGGTGGTTTGCAAATACATTCTTCTACTCTTGTGGCTGATCTTTTCATCTTAACAGAATCTTTTGCATGGCAGAAGTTTTTAATTTTGATGAGCTTTGATTTTTCCTTTTATGGATCATGTTTTTGGTAAAGTAAGATATAAAAGATAAATACACGTAAGGCCAGCCTTAGGTCCTGAAGATTCATATTCTCTCTCACTCTCTCTCTCCCCGTCTTTGTCTCTCTTTTCCTAAAATTTTTATAGTTTTATAAAGTCTTGGTCCATTTTGAGTTGATTTTTATATAATAATGAGATTTAAGTCAAGATTCACTGTTTTGCCTATGGATGTCCATTTCCCACATAATTTATTGATGAAAAGGCTATCCTTCACTGAATTGCTTTTGCATCTTTGTCAAAAATCAGTTCATAATGTTTGTGTGAATCTTTTTCTGAATTCCCTGTGGTCTTCCCTTGATCTGTGTGCCTCTCCATCTCTCTGCCAATACTGCACTGTATTTATCAGTACAGGTAATTGGTAAGCATTAACATCAGATAGAGTGCTTACTCCCATTTTAAATGAAAGATTTCTTGCCTTTTCCATATTTTAGCTACTCTTTGCTTTAACATATAAATTTTGTATTCACTTTGTCTATGCCTACAAAAAACCTTGATGGAATTTTGATAGGAATTACACTAAGATCAAATTGGGGAGAATTGGCATTTTTATTATGTTGACTCTTCCAACCTATGAATACAGTATAGCTCCCCATTTATTTAGGTCTCTTTTTTTTTTTATTCCTTTCATCAGCATTGTAATTCTCAGCATATAGATTCTATACGTGTTTTGTTTGATTTATACCTAAGTATGTGATTTCCTTTGCAGTGATTGTAAATGGTATTGTATTTTTATTTTTTTTAATGGCATTGTATTTTTATTTTGGTTTCCACATTTTGTTAGTATATAGAAATGTGATTGATTTTTTTTTATATGTTGACCTGTGTCTTGTGACCTGGCTGAACTCACTTATTTTAGAAAGTTTTTTGTTTGTTTTTTTGTTGTTTTTTGTTTTGTTTTTTGAGACATCTTGGGGTTTTATGTATAGACAATCATGTATTCTGTAAATAGGGATAGTCATGCTTCTTTTTAAATTTGTATGCCTTTTTTTTTTCCTGCCATATTATGCTGGTTAGAACTTTTAGCACTGCTGAATAAGAGTAGTAAAAGCAAAAGCCTTGACT